TATATATATAGGTCAGGATATATTTATATATTCATATTGATAAGGATAAATTATTATAATATTAATAGCAATAATAAATAATATGAATAATAATAACAATAATATTAATAGAATAATGATAATAACCCTTATAAAAACAAAGGTTATGATTAAAATAATAAATTTTTCTTTACATGGTGATTTCAATTAAGAGGTTTCACGTTCTTTCTGTTAATACTACAGTCACCCGGTCACTGGAATTATAACACAACAAAGCACTAGTATTGTATCGATAGAAGACATTTCTTGGGTAAACCTGTCATATTCAGGAGTATTCGTAGTAGAGACAATGATTATGTAGGTATCTCTCTGCTAGAAGCATGTGGTACACAGACATCTCCATTTTAGAAACATGTCATATTACAGTACTTGCCATAGATAAAATTCTATGTCTTAGATAAAGATAGGTCCATAGATAAATTCTTCATTTTTCGTTTCACGCGTTTCCTTTACATTTTTGGTTGAATTATATCTTATTTCATGTTTGATTGAAACTATTTTTACCTCCAAATTCATATAGATTTTTAGAACCGAGTCAGTTTTCCATTTAAAAAGCTAAAAACAAAGTATGTACAGTACCTACCATTATTGTTACATGGTAGGTGTTTGAGATTTTCGCTAAGAAATGCTTAATTATACTGGTGGAATTAAATCGAATATTAGGTTGTTTTGGAATACTGTGCTCCACTCTTTCCTCTTTCATTTTCTTCTCTCTATTTTGGGGCAGGGGCAGAGGCGTGCTGTGGATCCGCCCTTTGTATGATATTGTGTCCATGTCACAATGTGATTTAAAAACGCGGCTTGTCAGTACATTCCATTTAACACGCTCTATAAACAGCCTTTTATTTACCCACATTATTTAAAGTTATTTAGCGATTGCTATCTTTAGAATTTGCCTTGGTAAATCGAGGTTGCGTTTAATGACCGTGTACACCCACTCAACACAAACATCAATTTGAACCGAATTGTCAGATGTTACAAAGATGTATAGACCACACTTTTAAGACTCAAAATTCAGACGGACCGTGAAATTATCAAGGAAGTGCATACGCATGGATACAAAACACCGGGTGTTGTTACTTTTCTCACGCCCGTCGGAGAAATAACATTAGAAAATTATTAAAAGCTATCTATGCTAATTTGTATATAATAATAATCATAGTGATAGAGTTACCAAGAGTTAATGATGCACCTCCGAAGCGCTGTCTGCCAGACGTGGTCGGTTACCTCAGCCAGATAAACCAAGTTCGAAGTCTGTTTGTTTGAGTGGGATTCTTTTCCGATATCAATTACATGTCCCCCGCGTGTATCCAAAATCACTAGTAAAGTTACATGGAAACTAGGGTATACGAATTTGCATTCAGCAGATAGCCTACAACCTTATACCATGGATTAAGACCCGACTGTGAATTCGTTTTCGTTTCCTGGCTGAGAGACCTCGCTTAATTGTTTTTAAACAAACGAGAATATGCTAATTATTATTATTGATTGGTCCATTTTTGATTCAGTATTCAAAGAAAACAAATTAATTAATTTATTCCTACCTTTACTCTTTACCTTTATACACGCCTACATTTCTGGGGCGAATGCAGGGGGTGCAGACGGTGCGATTTCACCCCCTACATTGTATTAAGAAAAACATTGCTGTATTGTATTGTATTGTTAATATGAAAATAAATTAAATTAAATCTGGTATGAGAGTGCAATTTCATGGCACCTAGAGGTCCATATTCTCAAAATGTTATCATCTCAGCTCCAACCATGGTGGGCCTGAGGTGGTCTGGACTCTCACGCACCCCTACCGCCAAATCCTGCATCCGACCCAGCATTTAACTACCACGGCGTAAAATGTCATTCGACAGTATTATACTATACCGTACTCATTTAAAGAGAACGATATACGCTACTCATAAACATCATATCGTTACTTTAATTTCAATAAATTCTATTTTAACACGATGTGATAATTGGTTGATGTTTACATAAAATAAATAACTAAGGTGTGTAAACAGTTTTAGGCTAATATGTACATTGAGCATTGATGCACATGGACCAACCGCTTTGACGAGCAATAAATACAATGATGTCGGAATTGGTGGTCTCCGTTCAGCACACACACAGGCAGTGGGATATATTGCTCTCTATGATGTGATTATATTATATTATCATTGCATTTAATCTAAATGGTCTATATGAATCTTGAACTTCAGATGGCAAATAGATAGTTACCGTATTAAATTTTATATACCAGCTTAGTTGAGTCAAGCTACGAGACACGTTCGAAAGGTAATCTCTCAAAACATTGTTTCTAGAATATTTTAGCAAAAGGTACGACAAAAAACTATGTTTACAATTTCAACGAGATGTATGAATTAGTTTTATATACGCCACCAGTCAACACTGATGTCAGTGAGATGAAAGAATGGGGCTGTAACCTTTTCCCGGCAGTAGCAAATAAAAATTACACCCCCTACGTTGCATTAAGTTGAAATCGTTTAGATAAAAAATAAATGGCTAAATATCTGGAGCTTCCAGGGCGTACCTCTTGATTTTCTGGTAAAGGTGGGTAAATTGTCGCGTAAAAACAATGAATAAACTTTGAGATATTGCATGCAAATCAAGAAAATTCTATCGCCTTATAAAACCCTAATTCAAACATTTGTTTACATCTTTGATAATCAATGCCCGTTTCTGAGTTTGATTTAGACATTTTATACTGTCATTTATAAAATGTAGCCTAGAGCAAACGTTAATGTCTTCGTGCTTTTCAACGATTGCAACGACAGTGTTATTAAACCTGACAATCCTCGTGTACAACATCAGGATTGTTTCCGGAATATGTTAGTGTCACGATGAGCAGATCATGAATACACCACGGATGGCATCAAACACCTGGCCCTAATTGCATTTCAGACTGGACGAGCACAACCTCGGCTCTCCAGAGTGAAATTACAATGCAGACAATGTTTATAACATTATGTTGAGCGTGCCTGAATAAACAAGTATAGATATAAGATAAGACCCCAATGAATTTCTGTATCATTTTCATTAACATAAGGTTGAACCAAATAATGAAAAGCAAATGTCTCCTGTGTGGGATCAGGGAGGTGCTATAATTTAATAGCACTTTCCTATTGGGACAACTTCTCCATGATTTCCGAAATTAAATGGGTGAGTTGATTGAGGTGGCATTCCCATTATTCAATAAACCCGTTTACAACCAATAGCTTGAAAAAATCTCAACATTTATATTTACAACAGGATACGATATCGAATGAAAAATTCAGCCTCACCAAAATAACATCAACTCTATAAACCCATGGTAGTAAATTAGATCAACGATAAAAATAAATATAAAAAAATTAAAAAAAACAACTTTTGTGTTGCCGATAGATAAAAAGTCTCGAAAAATTAGAGTCGATTCAATTTTCAAGCTCATAATAAATTCGATACCTTAAGCATTTTAGATAGATTAAAAATTTAGATACAAAATCAAAGATTTCTTTATTTTTAAAATGTCATTAAAGTACATTTTGATATACACTGTGTACTTCAGAACATTAAATAAACACACATCGATAGGCACATATCTTTAAATTTTCATTTAAGACACACAAAAGCTGAATGTTTTTCTTTGACGAAAAGTAACAATCAACGTTAAAAGGGATCAATGTTAAAAGATGTTTTATCCCTGTGGTTCCCCTTGTTACCAACCAAATTGTATGGAGTAAGTGATTATTAGAAGTGAACCCTAGAATTAGATATAGAACTATAGTAAATAAAACATAGGCCTATCGTCGACCTATCTAAATTTTAAATAACTACGTTTTACATTAAATTTGCTTAGGGAAGTTTAAAGGTACCATAACCTACCATGGGTCTATTTGAAATATACAAATACCTAATGTGGGCTGTTTTAATTCTGAGAAAGTAACATTTTATAATGTTCACGATTTATGTAGGCCTATAGAAACCCACATCAATTCGAAGTAATTATGATTAAATTAATTTCTATAGGCCTATATATTCGTGGTTAGAAAACTGATTTTCCGCTTATGAAAGTTGGTAAAATGTAGTTTTTGTTGTTCACGTTGGTGGGACCCAATGAGGTATTTAAAGGCTACCTTGGTAACCGTCCAAGAATTGAGGTCAATTTTTCAAAATGTCACTTTCTAATAATACTTGAACTACATAGGGTGGAAATTAAGTTAACAGTATTTCGTGCACGAAGTGTTCATTTTGTACTAGGCCATTTTGTCAGGAACCCATTGATGTTTGAATAAACATGAAGTTGCCTTAGAAATTTGTGTTTCTATTATTATTACAAGTCCTGGACTGGATTTAAAAAGAATAACTCAGGAGGTTTGGAAATTTGTCCCACATGGAACAAGTTAAATGTAAAAATAGTGTAAGTTAATATTTTTTTCAGCAGCAATATATTTTGGCAGCATTTTCCCCTCTCACGGGCGATTAGTAAATTAAAAACTTCACAATTATAACGGTGCAAAATAATTATTTGTGAAAGGGCTGTAGTGAAGTAATTTGTTTAAATGGACAAACACAGTCGTGTGTTGGATAGCTCATCGCCGGCTGATCTAGGATCTAGGATCCCTAGATCAAATTTGAGCGATTCAGTCCGAGCACGGCTGTTTTTGTCATGTATATCTAATGAGAATGGATTGAAATATATGAAGAACAAATTGCAATCTTGAGGAAAGAGTTGCCTTCTACTGCCCAATTTACCACCAGAAACCAGAAAGACCTTGCTGGAAACTAAGCCATCAGACTTAGTGTGTTATCATTGATGTGTTTCACACTCAAAATAATTCCATCCTAATCTTTCATTTCCTTATCTTACGAGTCATGAATACTTTTTTTCTACCGTTAAAAATATGAAGAAAAAAACCCAATGTTTACGTTTATTATCCTTATCAATCGTAAGTACATCATTTATATGCTACTAGTTCAATTACGTCCTCCAAACATATTTTGTCATTCTCTTACCATCCACCATAGGCAAAAAATCCGGCATAGAATGCGATTGCTATCTTTCCTGTATGATCAATACCCTTGATAGGTTCGAATGCGTTCTCGAAATGTTCCGTGTATCCTGATTTAAAACACAAACAGTAACAATAATTAAGATGATATTATAAATCAATTTCTGCACGATTTATACTTATTTCGAAGTCATTAGCATGTGAAAGAACGGTGAGGATTTATCTCAAGGAGGATTTTCTTAAGTGAATTATCTTGACAAGAATTTTTTGAATTAGAAACATGTTTTTATATTTGAAATAAATCCTACTTTACTAATTTCGGGTGCAGAAAATAAATCAAGAGTTTCTACGGAAGTAGGACTAATCTCAAGGGTGTCGTCTTATGCAGCATCATTTTTGAAAAGTAACATCTTCATCATGATTGCATTAGTCAGGTGTATGTGTTATAAGGATTATCGAGAGAAAATGTGTTAAGAGGCTTAAAGCATAAGATAAAAAATCTACCTTTTCCAAGTCGAACTAATCCTGTAACGATGATAATAATTAATACGGATATCTTGGCAAATGTAAACACATCTTGCACTCTTGTAGTCCATCGTACACTGAAAGAATTAACCGCTGCAAGAAGAACTGGAAGGAAGAAAATATGTGACGTTAACAATAATAACAACAAATATTTTTAAAGCGCCAATTCAAAATTTATCAAAGGCGCTAAGTAAGGAAATAAGGCAAGTTAACATTCCTGGCTGAGAGATGTTGTTCTTGCTTCTTGTGCTGAAGACCCGTTTCAAACCGGCCAGCGTCGGGTTTTAATTGGAGTCTGATAGCTTTGCTCCTCGAATAATAACCCTCATATTGAGAGTAGGTGGGTTAAGGACAATGTTTGTATCCTATGTGTCCGTTATGTGGTAGTTAAGTTGGGTGGCGATGCACTGCGGCTGCAGGTGGTCCCCCAGGGACCCAGCCCGAATTTCTGATTTCATATTAGAATGAGGACCAATAAAGAATTATTATTATTATTATTATTATTATTATTATTATTATTATTATTATTATTATTATTATTATTATTATTATTATTATTATTATTACTGTCAAGAGATTTTTAGATGAAGAACAGAGATTGTGAAGAGAAACATATTGGGTAAGGTGATTTAGTAAAAGACAGGTTGATGAAAGATGAGTGACTTAAAATTCAACAAAATTAACTCAAAAATAGTATGTTGTTCAATACTGAACTTAGCGACACTACTTTCGCCCTGTCTCTTATACACATCTAGATGTGTATAAGAGACAGGTATTTAAAGGCTATTGTCGTATTTCAACATCTATATCAACATCAACCTCTCTCATTTACTGTCTTTATTGCTTTTTCAACATTAAGTTAGGCCTATAATAATATGACCTGGTAATATGCATTTGGGTCAATTCGATTATTCGGATATCTAAACACATCCGACGGAGCTGACACCGATTGCCAGCGAATTAACATCTAAAGTTTATCGCCCACACACTCAGAGTAATGCCTCTACATATAAGTTTCAGACTTGTTTGGCATATTCATATGCATAAAAATGGGAAGCATGTAAAAATCGATTTATTCTTTCTTTTTCTTTTTTAGCATTGATGTTCAAACAATTTATGTTTACAATAGTGTCGAGTGAGACCACGACTTAATGTATGATAAATAGGGAACCAACATTAAGAATCAAGCCTCTGCTGAAATTTGCGCAACTGCAGAGTTTGCTTTCTTTACGTACGTGATGTAAACGCACGTATTATGTCAAAACGATCGCAAATGTTACAAGATGGTATTATGCACATCGTACATCCTACCAAATTCCAGAAAAATAGTCTGAAAATTGTTAAAATGTTGAGATTCAAACCCCTTCAAGCAAAAATCCTCTGATTTTCTGTTGAAATGGATTGCTTTTATTCAAACATTTAACACCTTTAAAAACACAAATAGTTCAAACTGTAATTGTTATGATAAGTTAATTTTTTAGTATAGATTTTGGGGAGGGGGTAAACTGGTGAAGAAGATAAGCATTAGGCCCTAGCAGCATTTCTGCAAAAATGTGGTATTTGAGGTCATATGAATTAGTATTTCTAAACCTTTGGCGCTCAAGTGAATTCTCTTTTTTGACCCCGTTCCTTATACCTTCAGATTCAGGATATGAACTATTGGAATCATTGCCTATAAAGAGAAAGTCTATGTAGGAGCATATTAGCAAAATATTTGGTTGTTTTTTAAAAGTCATCAGAAGTGAAACGGCTCAATCAGGTCTCTGCTCCCGGTTTCTGATGATGGGGAATATGATTATCCAGACTTTGCCAACTTTATTGTCCCATCCTAAAAAGTTCCTGTCTCTGTATCCATCTTCTATTTTTTTATTTATTTATTTAAGTGTTCGTCTTCTATTTTGAACTATTCTATTTTGTCCTTGTATGCCTAAACACTGAGGCTTAAGAACTAATGATAGGAGAGGATTCTAAAGCAATCGCTATTAATACAGAGAATTAATACCAGGTAAGTTTGAGTTCCCAGTTTATTATTTCCGAAACAGAGTATAAAGTGGTGTAAGTATCAAAACCGACTTTCCCCTTGTTTTAATCTTAAACAATTGTCAGTGTCAATGTCTTTGAAAGTACTAACCTAGGTCACTTGAGTAAATATGCTCTAATTTACTTATGTTTCGTTAAGAGCCAATGACTTGCAATTGTCTGGTGTTTTTTTTTTCAGACGAGATCAAGGAAAACATATTAACCATGAACCTAGGTTCCAGGGAGCAATATCAGAGGGTTTCGTTATTTTTAATATTATTAGCCAGGAATAGTATTGACAGGAACTCGCTGAACCCACGACAATTCAGTGATAGTAAATTACACGACGGAACATTGCTCGATCTTATTGTGTTGATCAAATTTTATTAAAGTTTCTTTTAAGACTAATTACGAGTATAAGGCCCAGAAACCAAGTACAGTAAATTAATAATCGATTTTTTTGCGAATTGTTTTTTGTGTGTTTATATGCCTACTAGTGATCTAAGCACTATCACATTCTTGCTACCATATTATACTTTAATCCACATAAAATTCATTCAAACTTGTAGATTATTGTAAATTTGTCAGACATTCCGTTAGAATGTAGGGCCATACTTTAGATTTAGGCTTCCTATTGTGAGGAAAAGAGGTATTATACCAACTTCCGTGCAATTATATATATAATGTGTTCAATAGAAAAAGAATTAAGGTAAAAATGTTGTGGCGGTCCGCCGTTCGCCCTACAAATTGGCCCAACCATAGATTAAGTAAGAGTACATGGATTACACCTTGATCACATCAAGGTCCATCATATCATTGACCCGCGTAATTACATCTCAATCGAATTATGAATATCTGGGTGCAAGTAACCTCTATAGCCCACCATAATTTCCAAGTGCATCTTGAATGAGAAAGAGTCCAGTGCCCCGAGAGCGGTAGGCGCGGGCGCCACTAATAAAAAAAAAAAGCCTTAAAGTCGGACTCTGGAATGAAAACATTTTTTGATATGTTGTAGCACTGATTTTTCTAATTTTAAAATAATTTAAAAACTGGGTAAAAAAGGGGCGTAACCGCCCCTTTTTCCCCCGTTTTTAAATATTCAAAAATCTGTATCTCATTCACCGTTCCCCAGTTTTTTGTCAGACAACTTTTTTTCTGTCTTACAAAAATCAGTGCTACAACATATCAAAATTTGTTTTTCCTCCGGAGCCTGACTTTAACGTTTGTTGCGTCGCACTTTTTAATAATCGCCACACTTTGTAATAACTGTCGCACTTTGTAATAAAGTCTGTCGCACTTTGTAATAACTGTCGCACTTTGTAATAAAGTCTGTCGCACTTTGTAATAAAGTCTGTCGCACTTTGTAATAACTGTCGGTCGCACTTTGTAATAAAACGCGATCCATGCTATCATCTATAGATTTTTTTTTAATGAAATTCTCATTTTTCTCAGAGATCGATTTTCACCCTGTTTCGTATTGTATTCACTTATCACGATGTATTCCAACCATCATGAGGCTATCTAAATGAGCATTTGTCATAACAGAACGCAAATTATTTTTAATTAGTCTCATTGAATTATTATTATTATTATTATTATTATTGTTATTGTGGTTGTTGTTGTGATGAAAAGTTAACACAAACGATATGGTGGCTAAACGAATATTACATGTAAATATTTTTTTTTATTTGTTTGTTCCCCGACAAAAGTTATCGTCTTCCCCGACGGTGGGGCTATAGCCCCCATCCCCCCTTTGGCGCCACCCCTGGTGTCGGGTCCAAATCCAGAAGGAGTCCAATTTTATATTTCTCGTATATCAAATTATAAAATTTTATGTCGACCGACGATAATATATTCGTGTATATTATGTTGTTGTTTTTTTGATATTTCTAATGCGTAAATTTGCATGTACCGTATTTTATTAACTTTATAATTCTGTATTTTTATATTGATGTATTTTATACTGTTATTGTGTAATTTTTGAGCAATGACTTTCTCTCAATGTAATTTCCTTTTTGGACAATAAATTTGAATTTGAATTTGGTGGGGATATGGCTCTAATTCTACTAGGCCCCCAGTCGGTCAGATCATCAATATGGTATGTCGGAGTGATCGGGTTCAAATCCCGAAGGGGTTAAATTTTCCTCTTTTTTTTTTTTAAATTATCGTTACGCCCATATATGGGATATAGGTCCAGTCCCACTTGACCCCATCCATTATAGATTCCGAACCATATGACGGAGGTCACGGGTTCAAATCCCAAAGAGGTACAATTTTATTTTTCTATTATTTCTTATTATATCATTGTTACGTTGATGGGGTATGGCTCCAATTGTACTAAATCGGTCAGAGTGTCCACGTAGTATGAAAAGTAATGAGGATGTTCCGGGTTCAAATCCCAAAGAGGTCCACTTTCATATTCTTATTTTCTATTAAATCATCGTTACGTTGATGGGGGTATGGTTGCAATTCTATTGGACCCCATAACTCAGTCGGTCAGAGTATACAGCGCATTACAGAGGTCCCGGGTTCAAATCCCAAAGAGATCCAATTTGATTTTAGTGTTATGTCGTATTATATTATCGTTACGTTGATTTGGTATGGCTCCAATTCTACTGGACCCCATACCTCAGTGGGTTAGTGCATCCACATGGTATGTCGGAGGTCTGGGGTTAAAATAATGAGGAGTCGAATTTGATTTTTTTCATTCAACTGAACTTGTTCGATGGATCCGGGTCCAAATTTTCCCTACAACCAGCAGAATGGAAATGGGAACCAGACCACATCAACATGACGATGATAATTATAATACGAAATAAGAGGAAAATCACAATTGAAATAGGCCTACTTGGGACTTGAACCTGAGACCTCCACCATACTGTTCGGAAGTTCTAACCGATGGGGTCCAGTGGGATTCGAAAGATATCCCCATCGACGTAAAGATGACGTAATATGAAATAAGTCAAACAAATCAAATTGGAACCCCTCAATATTTGAACACTAGACCTCCTACATGCCATATTGATGATCTGACCGACTGGGGGCCTTGTAGAATTAAAGCCATATCCCATCGTCGGACATAAAAT